CAACCATACTATGTCAATTACTTAATATTTTTATGCTTTTGGCATTAATGGCAGTGAGCAGACTACGGGCAAGTCTACACTACAGCACTACATTGGCACGGCTGCACCGATGCAGCTGCACTGCTGTAGCTCGTCTAGTGAAGGCGTACTATGCCCATGGGAGAGCGGTCTTCTGTCAGCCTAATTACTCCACCTTCACCAGAGGCGGAAGCTATGTTGGCAGCAGAGCGTCTCCCACCGACATAGCGCTAGTGTGGACAGAGCTTAGGTCGCTGTAACTTGTGTCGCTCAGGGGAGTGTCTTTTTCACAGTGCAGGCTGGTGTTTTCTGCACTTAGCTTGACCCTGCACAATGTCCCAATATATTTTAGTTCATTGACACTCTCCCAATGAAAAAGGGTTTCTCCATTCACTTCTCTTGAGTTCCCTGGGTTTCCTTTCCTCACTCCTGTCTTTGTACCATTTCCCACACTGCATGGCAGATGGACACTTCCTACATGTCAAGCCCTCACCCTCTTCTCAAATTGCTATTCCTCACCACCTCTCCAGCCCCATTTCTTGCTACTTGCCTACAAGTGAGTTCATTGACCCCTTAAAGAAACATCAAGATGTGCAGACTGCAATTGTAACCACACAATCTTATTACTGTTATTACTTATTACCCTCATTCTTCATCATTACAGTGCTTCTTAGCGAATGTGCAACATGCCTCAGGTAGTATGCGACTGGGATTCCTCACCAAATTTGGTCCGCTGGTTGGATCATTAATTTCCCTGGCTTGGGACAGGGAAATGTAAAGTACCATGTAAGTGTCAAGCTTAAATCCATGATGTTTATTGGGAAATAAGCTTGTCTTAGCCATCTGACCACCAGGGTGTCTATCACAGTTTGCAGAGTACCTATTAGTGAACTGAATGTAAACTTCAACGTTTAGAGTGCTGGGTGGAAACTATGAGCAAAGAAACTGCCTCTTGTTTGATTCCTGAAGTGTTCAAGAAAACAGGACTGCCTAACATTCCTTGTAAATAAACAAGATTGCATCAAAGAAATACCTGACTCCATCACTGATTTCTCCTTTTAACAGAAACAATCTGTAAGACAGCTATTGTAGGCTAACCACTCAGGTTGAGAGAGACAACAATACTTTCAAATCTATTTGAAGTTAGCAGGCATTCAGTATATATTTAGACAACAGTGGAATTATAGGCAAAGCAACGGTTGTCCTTATACATAGGTTAACCTATTTAATTATTGGATGAGGTAATTATTTGGGTTTTGCATGCATGGTAGATCACTTAGAACTAGATTTCTGAAGTATAAGTTTCTTTCAGAAAAATTGCAATATCAAATTTAATTAACATTATTATAGGCCAGGCTAGTATCACTGCCCTTTGTTACACTTCCATTTATAAGACCTCCCCCTTCACTTCCAATAATAAGACTGTTTTCAATTGCTTGTAACTTTGCCAAAGTTTCACTATTTGGTCTGAAATTTTCCTTACCAGGTTTCTGCTTTGAGCAGAATTTTTGTGGAAAAATCTCAGCTCAAGCAGTTCATGCATTTTTGAAACTGAGAATAGAGAAATATGTTGTTGTTGTTGTTCAAGAGCTGGTCCCTATGTGTATTCCACATGTGGGTACGCATGCACTTCACGTGCCAGAGACTGGGTATTTGTAGCAAGTAACATCCACTGGTTCGTGCTTGCGCAGTCGCCCTCCTTGTGCTATGAACCGGGGGCATAAACAGGAGCGTGCCTCTCCAGTTCCTCCAGTGTTTATCGCTCGGATATTGATTGGGAGTCTGGTGACCCCTACTGGAGCAGGGATTTGGGTGAGCCCTGAGCAAGTATACCATTTATGGGAGTCTGATCTCTCCATGCACATTACAGCAAAACCTTGGTTACGTTTTAGCTAGATTGGAGGTGAGACTAGTGTAGCGAAAGCACCTCTTACATAAACAGTTGTGGATTAGTGAACCAGGTGGAAAGTTCATTAGATTTTTTCAATATAATCCTAAATCATGTACGTTTGTCACCTTGCCCACTTCCTAACATCTCTTCATAAGTAATTAGGGGGAAAAAGAAAACACCCAGCTGTAACTGTTTAAGGAACTGCTTCAACTTTTGGAGGATAGATCCCTAAACTTAATCAGGGCATTGCTCTGCAAGTGGCAGAGCTCTTCTTACACTGTCACTCAGAGCTATTTAACCTCTACCACCCCTTGCTAAATCAGAGTTCTTCCATCCACTGAAAAAAACCCTGTCAGTTCTAAAAAAAAAGATACTAAATAGGCTGTGCTGCACTGTAACAACTATCACAACCTTGTTCTTATTCACAAAGGTGTTTTTCTTGTAATTAAATTGTTACAATTTTGTGGAAAAGAAGCTTCAGCTGTTCACTCTGTACTGTTCTAAGTTTTTGTATGTCCCTGTAGCTTTAGGATTTGAGCATCAAACACCTGAAATGTATCCTATCAATTTCCCCACTTGCTACAAGGGCCATTCCCTTAACCTTGTATTTGCTAACAAGCTTACAGAAACAAGCAATCCCAATTATTTTAACTGTAAGCCTTTTTCTCCCTTCCCCCTGCCCTCCTTTGTCTTAATTTAAGAGTGTAAACTCTGCATGGCTGGTCCCCTATCTTTCTATATTCTGTAAAGCATCTGGGGCACACTTTAGGTGCTATATAAATCAAAAAGGTTTCTATTTTGAAAAATCTTGGCCTTAAAACTGAGGTTAATGGGAGGAGTTGGGTGCTCAGCACTTTTGAAGTTAGGCAAGTGCCCAAGGATGCACTTAGCCCAAATTTAGGCTTCTGTTTTTGAATATTTAAAGCAACTGTGCACCCCATGTGACAGAGAGCTCAAGAAATAGACCTACTTCAAAGTCACCCTGAATGCCTGTTGTTGGCCTAAGGACTATGACCTATCAAAGGAGGCCTGGAATTGTATAACAGACTCTTGAGTCTTGATCCTGTCATCTCAGATCTGCTTGAGGTTTCATGCAGGGGAAGCCTAAGCCACAAGGACTGATATCCCAGTTCTGACTGGACCGCCCTGAATAGAAACATTGGACTATAACCTTTGAACTATTTCTGAAAGAACTCTTTGCATCTACAAAGCTCACCATCTCTGCTATGAATCTGAATCTCAAGATTGACTCATGTTTGTATGTATACTGTTCTTTTAACAAATTCTCTTTTTCTTTTTTAATAAATTTTAATTTAGTTAATAAGAATTGGCTGTAAGCGTGTATTTGGGAGAGGTCTGGAATATTCATTAATCTGGGGGGTAATGTTTCCAATCCTTTGGGATTGGTAGAACCTTTTTTATATGATGAATAAAATTTTCATTAATCCTCATCATATCTAACTTGAGTGTCTAGGTGGAGGCCTGAGGCTCGGTTACTTTAAGGGAACTGTGTTGTTGGCTTATAAGGTATGGAAGCTGTTGTGTGCTGGTTTGGAAAATCTAAGTATTGGAATATTCACCAGCTTTGGGGATTGTCTGCCCCATTCTTTGCAGTTCACTCTGAGTGACTGGGGAGCCAGCTGAGGTCACAGTAATACATTAATGCAAAGTTTTTTCTAAAATTGATTTCTGGCTCACTTGTGTATATCAATATAGACTTTTAATATGTCATAGTTTTATGCCAAAGACAAAAATGTAAGAATAATTTATTTAAATAATATCTTGACACTTATTGAGGATATCAGAGGACCTTATAAGAATACAAAATTTATATTAAGTGTCCATGGCTTATTATGAATGAAAAATCATTATTGTGGTTTTAAATTCTGAATGAGACAACAGTATATAAATATAACTTAGTTTAAAATCGTATTCAAATCATTAATATTCACCTTCAGTATTTTAAGGGTTATATGTGATGTCTAATATTGTGTAAACAATGTTCGTGTTCTTACTTTGAGTGGATAAACTGTGTTAAAGAAATTATGGAAATACTGATAGGACTTAAGTGCCTTCATGTACAGGTCACATAAAATAACCTATGACTTTTTTATGAATATGAAATAAATGTAAGTAGTCATTAAAATATTGCAGTCTTATGCCCTAAGGAGCTAGACCAGGGGTAGGCAACCTATGGCACACGTGCCGAAGGCGGCACGCGAGCTGATTTTCAGTGGCACTCACACTGCCTGAGTCCTGGCCACTGGTCCGGGGGGGCTCTGCATTTTAATTTAATTTTAAATGAAGCTTCTTAAACATTTTAAAAACCTTATTTACTTTACATACAACAATAGTTTAGTTATATATTATAGACTTATAGAAAGAGACCTTCTAAAAACGTTAAAATGTATTACTGGCACGCAAGACCTTAAATTAGAGTGAATAAATGAAGACTCGGCACACCACTTCTGAAAGGTTGCCGACCCCTGAGCTAGATAATGTAAGATGGCTTACTGTTGTTCTCAATATTAATCTTAGAAGTTTACCTTGGAGTATTTTATGGGTTTGGATACGAATTTGCTATACAGAGACAAGAATCAAGTCTTGTGCAAGAGTTCAGAGAAGAGCTTGCATTATGGAATCCCTTCCCCACAACCACAGGACAGACAGAAAAGGTAACAACTACCTTAGCATCAGACATTGAAATGAACTGTGTAGTCTTTGCTCTCGCTGTGTTTATGTGCGTGCACACACACACGGTCTCTCATGTTCATGTATATATTACACACGTAAGAGACAGACACAAACATGTATACATATATATTTACATACATATATATGCAACATGCACACACGCACATTTTCACAGTGCTTGAGCAAATGCAAACCTACCAAGTCAAGCATTTTCCCGTATGGCCCAGGTAGCAGAGCCCTATGGATTAGGACAGTTTACAACTTTGAATATCAGAACCAGACTGTACAAAATGAACTGTATGCATTGCAGGTAACCTGTAAGATTTGCATTTACAGGAGATAAATAATCCAACAACCAGGCATTGCACTGAATCACTACACATTCAGCTTTTAATGTTGAAGGAGAAAACTTCAAAACAGTTGAACACTGAATAGTTATAAATTACAAAATTGCAAACTCTTGGGAGCAAGGACTGTGACTTTCTATGTCTGCATACAGTGTCTAACACATTTGGGGAGCAACCACAATTTAATTTTAAAGAAGGGAAAACAAACACATAGATGTTAAACAATTTAATCAGATTCAAACGAATAAATATGTCACAACTGGGATTAGAACCCAGGTCTATTGACCCTCAACTTTGTGCTCATATCACGAGAGTGCTGCTTCCCTTAAATGTAATCACAATCCCACAAATACCTTTCCACTTTGTGTGTCAACTCTTAACCTGTGGAAAAACCATCTGAAAAATTCCATCAAGCCACTTCAAAATCTCTCCTCCTTAATTCATGATGCCAGCAGAATATCAATCGACAGTGGCTAGGTGTTAAGTTAAACTGTACAAATCATGCTTGTATTACTGTTACCTTGTCCTTCCTTCCCCACCTCACCCGTTTTTTTTCCTGCTGCCAGCTGTGTCATATCATTAACCGATATTATAAGATTTTTGGGGATCTGGTCTTTGCTTAAAGTTCCTCAATGCTAGTGGCAATATAAATAAACATATCTCTTTTCATATATTGATATTTACAACACCAGCTCTCCAAAGCCTGTAACAGCAATATAATTTTAAAGTCTCATAGGTAAGGCCTAAAAGCAACAGAATAATCTAAGTAAACCCACATTAAGGACTGTCTGCTTTTTCCCTCTTACCCCCTGCTTCTTGATGCACTATTTTCCTATAGAATGCAGATAATTTGTTTCTGTTCAATGGTACACACCAAAAATATGACAAGATCCAACAGCAGGTATTTCATATAAAAGTGTTTATTGGGCAGGAGAGGTAGGGGGGAAACAGACTGGTTTTAAAAAAAAAAATCCTTCTTGGGCGCTTTTGAACACTTTTTTCCTAGATGTAGCATCATTCATTCTCTCAGGAGTCCTTTAACAAAAACATTTGAAAATAAAATATTTAACCTAAATACAACCATTTTATAACAGAAAGCTGAATAAGATGCAAAATCCACCCAACAGTAGTAAACTGGTACATGAAAATAAAAACATAAAAAAAACCCTACCTCTACGTACAAATAAGGAGAAAATATAAAAGAAGCAGTGATGTTTTTACTTGTATTGCCAAAAATTTTAAAAACTGAAGTTTTAAAACAAAATATTGGCTGGGTGAATTAGCATAACCAAACTGCATAAATCACAGCTAAAGACATCTGAATTCACTCACCTTTTAAAGTCTCAGACTTAGGTTAATGCAGTAATATATTTTTTCCTGTAGATTCATGAACTGACATTGTAGAATACTTCCAAGTAAATTCACTTTAACAGGAGTATATTTTTTAATGTATACAGATTTCCAAAACGTTTTTCATTTCAGCAAAAGTCATTTTTTCCAATTTCATCATACTTAATGAAAAAACTGCCTTTGCCAAAATAATTTACAAATTTTATTGTATTTTAAAAGCCTGATTAAGGGCAAAACATGCATTAAGTTTTTCTGCTAAAATTACGGAAACATAATTGCAGAATGCGATTATATTCGAAGGGTCGTGTCCATAATAAAAATCTGCAGCTTAAAAGAAGCTTGGAACTTTAAGAGTTTAGTATCTGAAAAAGGCAAATATTCTATGTACTATTTTTAAAACTCTGACATTACACTGCAATGGTTAAAGCAAGAAATAGCTCAACTGAAGAAGATTATGGGAAAGCCTTTGTCTTCTCAGGAGGTCTATGCTTGGTTATACAATACTGTCTTGGAAACAGTGCTTCATCAGAGGTCTGGCAGTTGGCTTCTGTTTAAAACATACTTTGCCTTGTAACATTCATCAAAGGCATAAAACATAATTGAGTCTGGCAGTACACATGGACAGCATGATGTTCAGGGGGTTGCCAGTAGACATGGGGTCCTTATATAAAGAGCTGTTTTCTTTGTTTAAAAGGGAAAATGAGTGGGAGGTGGGGAGAAAGAACAAGGAAAAAGAAACTGACTCAGAACCATAAAATATTTTTTTGAATCCAATTCAGTTCAGCTACTGAATATACAAATAGAATGTTTCAAATTTGGATTGTGACACAGCTTCTGAATTGCTAAGGCAATTCATGCTTTCCTATTTTCATAGAAAAAGATAGAGGCTTTAGTTATATACATCCTTCTAAATGCTCTGTGAATGCTCTGGGTTGAGTTCTAGAGTGCTCACTTCAGTCCGAAAGTGATGGAGAGCGAACTGACCGTCCACTGGCTGGGCTGTTGGAGAAAGTGAAGGGCTCCTTCTCTTTTTCTTTGCTGTCATGTTTATGTTTATGCTTATGCTTATGTTTATGCTTTTTCTTCTTTTTCTTGTGCTCATGGTGGTGGTGGTGGTGGTGATCACTGTGTTTTGAGGAATTGGATTCTTTGCTGAACACAGAGAGTGGAGCTGCTGGCACTGGAAGCATGTTCAGCTCTAGTGAAGACTGTTCTTTACCTAAGACAAAGATACAATTGGAATTTCAATTTTTACATTGTGATAAATTATTAACTCATAATTTAACATCAAAAAAGCTGTTGCTGAAATATAAGCTAGTATCTACACTCTCATGCCTCCCATCATATTTAGTATTCTAATACAGACTCTATTAGTACACTGGTGCCATTACCTTCTGGTATTCCTAGACAAGCCTATAAGCACACTGACAGTTTCCATATTGTAGACTTAATTCTTAGCAGTGTAGGTGGGATGTGCTACTCCCTGCTTCAAATGGTATAAATTTATCCCAGATGACTAGTGACTATACAGCTAAGGAACTACAAACATACCAATTTCAAGATACCAATTTTCCAACATAAAAGTTCAAAAACTTAATAAAATGTATGCAGTGAACAACTAGGGTGCTCGTGAAAAATTCTGGATATAACAATAGATAATGGACAACAATAATCAAACCAATGATTGGTACTATTAAGAAGTTAAATTTCCTGTACGGGCTGATGTCAAACATTAGGCTCTGTATACAAACATGAATTTTTTGATGCTGAACAGTGGAAATAAGCTGATTTTTCAAAATAAGTTATTTAACATTCAAGCATTTCCTCTCTCTTCTGAATAATACAGACATTCAAAGTTTGTCATCTTAAATAAACAGAAATCCAAATTATACTAATAGGATACCAATATTCTTTACACATCAGGATTTTACGTATTTAAGCAATACAGGAATAAGACCTCCAAATAGATATAGGCCTATTTCATCAACACAACAAGTCTGTTCTATATTCTGAATTTTTCTTTTATCTGTAGCATTTTACAGAATTGGAGAAATATTGCAGATTGGTCTTCCCAGGGAACCATGATTTGCTCTCTACCCACTGCAAAGGCAAAACTCAGTGTAACTGCCTCTGTCTTGGTACTCCAGTTTTCTTAGAAGTCAAAACATTTCAGGAACCAACTTTGTATTTTCTCTCAATATGACTGACAATCATAGAGAAAGACTTAAAAAAGCTCAATCTATTTAGTATATCCAAGAAAAGATTAAGAGGTGATTTGATCACCACCTATAAGTACCTACACGAGAGATTACAGATAATACATTCTTCTTTAATCTAGCAGAAAAAAACCCATAAGATCTAATGTCTGGAAGCTGAAGCTTACACGCAGGCTAGGAATAAGGTGCAAATTCTTAACAGTAAGGGTGGATAATTAACCATTAGAACAATTTACCAAGGGTTATGATTTGATTCTCCATTACCTGAAGACTGGATGCCTTTCTAAAAAGCATGGTCTAGCTCAACCCCTAGATATGGGCTTGATGCAGGAATTACTGGGTGAAATTAAATTGCTTATGTTATGCAGGATGTCAGATCAGATGACCACAGTAGTCTCTCTGGGCTTAAATTCTATGAATCTATGAACATTTTACAAAATGTAGTCCTGAAGTCAGCAGAATAATATATGCCTTACTATATTTGTTATCAAATAAAACCATTTAACATCACAATTCAAACCGACTTTAATTTCTGATGTACTATTAACTCTATTATGGTATATACATGACATGCACACGCTAACTAAGACATTAATTGTTGACTTTAATGCATATTAGCCACATCACTTTTTACTCTACCCTGGACAGGTGTAATCCAAATCTGTAGGCCACTTGCCAGTTTATTGCAAAAATATAAGAGACTGCTTCATGACTATACCTGTAACAATTCTTTATTTCTAATAATCTTAAATCTCTCAAAAGACCTCCCCTCTGAATCTACTTCCACTTCTTGAACCCATTCCTTTAAATTCTAGCTACTTTTTAGGCACCTAGAACAGCATGGTTTCTGCCCCCAAGCTGCAAGCATGCTGAAATACCCGTTGTAGTGAACCTATGAACCTTAGCACAATGAAAAATGAACACGTCTGCTCCAGATATTAGAATACAGTAGAACACCAATGTTATGAACAACGAGTTAAATGAACCAGATTTCCCAACCAGCAGGAGGTGGTTGAATCATGTAACAACAGTGGCATCCCTTCACATGCTGATGCCTTCAGTGCATTAGAATAATCACTTTGCAGTGGTTTGAAGGACAAAAAGAAAATGGCGCATCATACTGCAACTTATGCACCATATCTACTGTCATTTTGAGATATTGAATTCATAAAATCAAAAACTTTACAAAATTGCTCAGTCCCAATTAGTTCATGAAACACGGGTAAAGAAGATTACGTTTTTGTTTCCATTGCCTTCAGTGCACAAATAGTTTACATGCACACCATGTTGTATACAAATATTTTATTTGCATGTTACACTGGCAAAGTATATCATGTATGTAAAAGGTTATTTATATGAACAATTCTATTATCACAGTACACACTAAAATAAAGAGGGTATCAGATGAGCCCAATTTATAGACTTCAGCTCCGACTAACTTGTAGGGGAGAGAGATTTTCAGATCCAGGGTTTTGTTTCTGGCTCACCTCTAATACTGCATGCTGCATTTCAGAGGGCTAGATGGCCAAAGTTTCTCTGATGCCAAAGCATACTTCTGAATCTTCCAAATGTGGAAGGGGAAGGGAACAAAGCAAGTACCGGAGGTAGTATGTTAATACTGATAAGCCAATGGCAAATGTCCCTGAATGATAGGTCAGTGCTCCCCTATGAGAGAAGCATGAAAGACTAGCTGAAAGGTGCAGCATGCTCAGGTCTCTGTCTTATTCTTCTGAGTTTGTTTTTATTTCAAAATAGTAGGTCTCAAGCTCTTATGATTGCAAAGAAAGCCTTCAAAACATGAAGCCAGTAAAATCGATGCAGAAACAAATATCTGAGTTTGCAAAGAGCCTATCCTATAACAATAGCTCTAAAGTGTGAACTGACATTTATTTCAGTGAGTGCTAACTCAGATGTCAATGATACTTGAAATATCAACATTGTTAACTATATCACTGCTCTTCAGAGCACGTAAGAAAAGATCTACACCAGCATTTTCCAAAGTATGGGTTGTGCCCCTTAGGGGCAGAGGAAGAATTAAGGACTAACCAAGGAGGAACAGAAAATGTATATATTAAAACTTGTATGCCTTTAAAACCACATGGTAGTGAACGATTGGCTTCATTTTCCAGAGAAAGGGGCTCATCTTTCAAAAGTCTAGAAAACACTAAGACAAAATGACCTTCATTAAACTGATCACTGAACTGACCATCTAAGTATTAGACTTCAAAATCAATGGCATCACTAATTTTTTCCTTCTTCAGTTGACCCAAAAACCTATATATTCATGGTTTTATCAGATTGCACCAAAGCTTTGTATATTGTGATATAAAAAAGGAAATCAAGGCTGATTAGACTAGCTCAAATCCTTTCATATACTGTTCTTTAAATATATTCAAAACTGAGCCAGTTTGTGCCGCAGTCCTTGAATCTGACAACATTCACTTCCTTCACACAGCTGCTTCATTGACAACAGATGTTTTTCAAAAATTCCAACAGCACCAACTCCCCAGAAGACATGATATTTGATACTGCCAAAGAGTGCTTTGAAGTCAATACAGGCATCATAAATGTGTCATAAGAAGCATGTCCAGGTGATTGAAGTAAGACATCTATAAAATGGACTTTTGTGAGGAATTAGAAGGACTACACCTACGTTAGGCATTGACCCTCCCTAGACAGAAATCAATGTTGCACAAAGAGATCACCTTTTCATCCTCAGGATTCCCTATGATTAACGCTTACAGAAGGCCTGTATTAGCGACCTGCCAATCCGGGTGAGGAGGGCTAAATAATAATTCTTTCTAAGGCCATCAATTTCATTTCTACATTGGTCAAAGGGGGATTGCTGCAGGGAGACCATGCAATTTCTTCTCTCATGGAATAAGAATCTGAACCTGTGTTTCCCACATAATAGCAAAAAACAGTAACGAGTGGGAGAGCTCATGAATTCACTTCTGAAGTGGTTACTAGCATTCCTTGAAGCAGAATATACAAATTCAGAATCCACTTGGCATCTTCCTTTGTTCTGGATGTGCAGATTCCAACATAATTATTAGCTTTTCTCTGTTCCAGCTAGTTGGGTAGGTGTGCAGAATTAGATGAAATTGCCAAATGAGATGAGACTCCTAGAACACCTACTTAGTCAAACAGAATGTTACAAAGACTGCAGAGATATGATGCAAGAGAAGTAGCACAGATGGGAATACAGACTTCATTTTAAACTTGAATATTTATTTTACATGGGTAAGCTTTATTTTGATAAGCTTTCATCTTTTTTCCATCAAAATGAAAACTTTCAGAAACAAGCTGTTTGTCTTATGTCCTAGCTCCTAAATATAAAGATTACTAAATTGTCTTGTTTGCGAAATAATTACAACATCTAGTTATAAGCTGTCCAACTTATTTTTAATTTTCCTGATGGATGAATGTTGAGGGGCGTTTAGGTTGCTAGGGTTATTTAAATAAATTTTTATTTTACTTTGTGCTCAAATTTTGTAAACTGGTGACATAATACATCTCAAGAGACCTCTACACCCAGAAAAGGCCATGTCAACTTCCTCAAAAGTAGTCTCCTGTTCTGTATTTTTATATTTTGAGGAGAACTGCAGACTTTTTAAACTTGCTGGCTTAAGTGAGACTTTTCCCGTTTGATGTTTGCTGAAGATGATCTAATTAGCACCTGATTTTTCTGAATGCTTTGGAAGGCGGCACTGCAAGGTAGAGTGAGCAATGCTCAAAACCATAAGAATCAAGGGTGGGGCCAAGAAGCCTTCTGGGTCAATGAGCCACCTGAGAGAAGACTGAACTTCCAGAATCCTGAAACTGATCACTCAAGTCATCAACAAAAAAGCTATGCCAGTCTTTGGACAGTCTCTCCCTGCACCTGAAGAAAACCCACTAACAAGAAGTGCTGTGTCAGCAATATCACTATCTGGCTCCTCAACCACAGTTCCATCTCCTATTTCATACGAGCCCAGAAGACCACAAAAGCTGAAGAGTTCAT